AGCCCGCCGCGACCGATGAGCCATCGCCAGAGAGAGCAACAGAGCTGAGGATCACCCAGGAGCGAGAGCACGTGACATCAGACCAAGTGCGAGAGCTGGCTACAGAGCTCACCACGGGGGAGAGCATCATGGACAGGGAGAGCACGGAGGTGAGCTGAGCTCAGTGGACTGTAATTGGGATATATATGCAGACATGCCCCCTCTTCTCCCGCCTTCGTCTGAATTATCTGTTAGCCCTGAATTATCTGTTAGCCCTGAGTTATCTGTCTGCCCTGAACTGTCTATCTGCCCTGAACTATCTGCCTGTGGGACAACGACCACGGAGGTCGTCCCCCTGTCACGCCCTGTCACCTGTGTGTGTGGGCAGCGCATACCGGTTCTGAGCCCCCTTAGCATCCTGAACTCCCGCCCAGCCTCCCTCTTCCACCACCTCTGTACCAGTCCTCACCATCACCACCACTGTATCCTGGCAGCCCCTCTGCTCACCCTCAGCCCACCATTTGTGCGTGGGATCACCGTGGGTCTGCCAGTCTCCATCGGTGTCATGGCTAGAGGATCCCTTGTCTCCGCCTCCATCCTCTGAGTCCCGGACTCCGCCTCGGCCCTTCGACCCAGCGGCTCCACCATGGCTCGTAGCTCCCTCATTTCCACCGTGACCCGTCAGTCCACCAGCTCTGCCGGGCTCCCTCGTCCCTCCGGCACCGCCTTAGTCTGTTGTCGACCATTCGCTGCCTCGGGACTCCACTCCTCTGTCTACACCTCATTCTTCCATCCCTCCGGCTCTGTCAGGCTCCTCCTTCCCCACCTGCTCCACCGCCATTGGTCAGCCCCCTGGAGCCGTCAGCCCTTCCTCCACCATGGCTCCTCCCTCCTTCGGCTCCTGTGGGACAACGACCACGGAGGTCGTCCCCCTGTCACGCCCTGTCACCTGTGTGTGTGGGCAGCGCATACCGGTTCTGAGCCCCCTTAGCATCCTGAACTCCCGCCCAGCCTCCCTCTTCCACCACCTCTGTACCAGTCCTCACCATCACCACCACTGTATCCTGGCAGCCCCTCTGCTCACCCTCAGCCCACCATTTGTGCGTGGGATCACCGTGGGTCTGCCAGTCTCCATCGGTGTCATGGCTAGAGGATCCCTTGTCTCCGCCTCCATCCTCTGAGTCCCGGACTCCGCCTCGGCCCTTCGACCCAGCGGCTCCACCATGGCTCGTAGCTCCCTCATTTCCACCGTGACCCGTCAGTCCACCAGCTCTGCCGGGCTCCCTCGTCCCTCCGGCACCGCCTTAGTCTGTTGTCGACCATTCGCTGCCTCGGGACTCCACTCCTCTGTCTACACCTCATTCTTCCATCCCTCCGGCTCTGTCAGGCTCCTCCTTCCCCACCTGCTCCACCGCCATTGGTCAGCCCCCTGGAGCCGTCAGCCCTTCCTCCACCATGGCTCCTCCCTCCTTCGGCTCCACTGTGGGCCACCATCATGGCTGTGGCCTGGGTCCCACCTGGCTCCTCCAAGTCCCTCCTGTCTCCTCCCTCCATCTGATCCTCCCTGGACTCTGTTCATCGTCCTCCTCCCGGGTGTCCGTCCTCCGGCCAAACCTCCACCTGTATTGTTTGCCTGCCTTCATGCCAGCCCTTTGCCATCCCCTGTCACCATCCCATATCCACTCTTTTGTCCTCCTCCTAAGTCCCCCTCCGTCCCTCCCTTTGTTGTTTCTGTGGCGCAAGGTCGCACCTTCCGGGAGGAGGGCGAACTGTCACACCTCTGGACTGTTTGTTGTGTTTTCTTTCCTCATATGCTCTGTGTGACCTAGTTTCTGTCTCCCATTCATTATGTCATTTGGTTCAGGTGTGTCTACGTCATGGCCAAAAGTTTTGCCAGTGACATAAATTTTGTGTTTTGTAAAGTTTGCTGCTTCAGTATTTGTAGATTATTTTTCCACATGTTTCTATGGTATACTGAAAAACAATGATAAGCATATCATAAGTTTTAAAGGCTTTTATTGGCAAAAAAATAATGAGTCAATATTTACAGTGTTGACCCTTGCTTTGTGACATGGTGCTCCATCATGCTGGAAAATGCACGGATCATCACCAAATTCGGCTCATGGATCGTTGGAAGAAGTCGCTCTTGCAGGACATTTTGATACCATTCTTTATTCATGGCTGTGCTTTTGGGCAGAATTATTAGAAAGCCCACTCCCATGGTTGAAAAGCAACCCCACACATGGATGGTTTCAGGATGCCTCCGTTTTGGCACAACACAGGACTCATGGAAGCATTCACCTTTTCTTCTCCGAACAATAGATTTCCCAGATGTCCCAAAAAGTTGGAAGGGAGCTTCATCAGAGAAAATAACTTTGCACCAGTCTTCTGCTGTCCAATCCTTGTACTTCCTGCAGAATTTCAGTCTGTCCTTGATGTTTTTCTTGGAGAGAAATGTCCAAAAGTCTTGCCCTCTTGATGCATGCAGATGCTCAGCCTGCTGCCATTCCTGAGCAAGCTCTGCACTGCTGGAGACACGCAAAGCGATGATGGCTGCACGTGTTTCTTTGGAGGTAACCATTGCTAACAAGAACACAATGATTGGAAGCGCTTCTTCCCTCCTTTTATAGCAATCAGTCTGCTCTTACAATCTAATTAGTATGATAGTGATTTCACCTGACTAGTACTCATTCACACTTTCCACATGTGCTGCTGATATGATTAGTCAATTAATGTTAGCTGGTCATTTTGTGTCAGGATCAAAAAACAGTTAATTTTTTTTGTGTGAAAAGTACATTTTTTGGCCAATAAAGCGTTTAGCAATTATTTAAAACGCATCTGATCACTCTACACAATAATCTAGAAACAATGTGAATGAACACCACAACAGCTTAAACAAACTTTGCAAAACACAAAATTTATGTCACTGCCAAAACCTTTGGCCATGACTGAGTTAATATCTTCATTTGCCAACCTTCTTAACTTGTGTTCTGTTCACTGATTTCAGTCCGGTATTGTTGATGTTACCCTGTGTGTTAGACCCTCTTCTTCGTGTGGATTATCATTAAAGGGGTCATATGATGCTGCTAAAAAGAACATTATTTTGTGTATTTGGTGTAATGAAATGTGTTTATGCTGTTTAAGGTTCAGAAAACACATTATTTTCCACATACTGTACATTATTGTTTCTCCTCTATGCCCCGCCTTTCTGAAACGCGTCGATTTTTACAAAGCTCATCAGTCTGAAAAAGCGAGGTGTGCTCTGACTGGCCAGCTATCCAGTGCGTTGTGATTGGCCGAATACCTCAATTGGCGCGGCCGCGATTTCAATGAAGGAGCGTCCGGAAGGACATGTGACGACTCCGGGCTGGACTCCGCTTCGTCCACGGTGAAAGCTGATCCGGCGATCCACAGCGCAAAGTTGTAGTATTTCCTCAGCAACCAGCACGGATCAGCTCCAGGCATGACGAAGCAGATATCGTCCTCTTTTGGAAGACCAAACAAAGTAGTTTCGCTTTCACAACGAAGCACACAGCGTCTTTACGACATGGCGGCGGCAACAACAAAACTACAGCGAGAATAAAGTTAGGTCTTCTTTCTTTGCGTGAACATTTGGGCGGCATTATGCAAATCTTCCCACATAGCAACGTAGATACGTGGGGGCATGTTAGAACGAGCTGTTTTCGTTAGGCGTGGATGACTCTTAACTTTTATAAAGAATATCTCTTTGGATTTGAGACTTTAGTCTTTGCAACTTTACAGATCTTCTTTATGCACTAAGAGCTTGTAACACTCCAAAAAGAAAGGAAAAATTTTAATCGCATCATATGACCCCTTTAAAAGGATTTGTTGTTATAATCTTCGTTGTACCTTCGTCTCCCTAACAGCAGTAGTGTGACAGTGACGTGACGTAGGACGCGCATTGCTACAGCAAAAAATATATTTGAAAAACAAAAATTGGCACATCCCAAAACTCCAGACCCTCTTTTTTGTTTTCATAAAATAATTTAAGCATTACCTCTCACTGATTAAATTAATTTTTTAAAATTATTTTCCTGTCTTTAATGACTTGTAATTCTCAAAAATATTACTATAAGATAACTATAATTAAATTGGAATTATGCCTAATGCTTTGCTGTAAACTGTCAGGCAAAGGGCTCGATTGGCTACTGTTCCTGTTGCTATACTAGCTCTTCAAGCCAGGATTGTCTGCTTCTCAGCGTCTATTTTGCACACTTTGACTAACTAAGAATCAATGAATAAATAAATATGAAACGTATGTAAGTATTTATTTATGATTGTGACACGTACAGTATGTATAAATAATAGACCTGCAGTTTGGGGGGTTTAGGCTGCCTATGCAGAACTTGGTAAAAGTTCAAATGATCACTCATGTAAATTTTCAAAGATAAAAAAAGATGAAAGTACCTTTGAGAACAAAGCCAATATCTGTTATAATGCAAAACAGGTGGCTGTGGCATTATGCACTGATGCAACTGAACTCACTTCATTTACTAAAAGTAACACTGACATCATCATATGGTGTAGGTTGGTATATGTTTCAATAGTGGTCACTTAAAATAAAATTTTAATTTTTTTAATATTTTGATAATTAAATCCTGGGCATATGTGAGAGAAACTGTAAAACTGTTATAGCTGGAAAATAACTTTTACAAACTGAAGCCTTACAATTGTGGAATTATTTTAATACTTTTTTTTCTTTTGTTTTTATCTTGCATGAAATGCACTTATGTAAAACTGACTGTTTTTATGATGCTGATGAGACAACTTCATAAACACTTCATAATCATTATTAAGCAGGCCTATTAACAACAACAAATATTGCACATGCAGTTCCCCACAAAGTGTGTTTGTAGACTTAAATATTTATGTGAAGTGTAACATGATTGAATTACATAAAATAATAATAGTAGCATTCATTAAAAAAAGACAGTTTAAATTCCAAGAATTTTTGTTTGTTATCTAACACAATAACAGAAATTACATATTTTAGTGTGCTTTAAATCCACATTTAAATTAATTAAAAATGACATGTTTGTAGAAATATTGTATGCTTTCGTAGATTCGCCTTGCTTTACGTTCATATCTGCACCTGTTTTGCTTTGGCTGCTGCTTTGTGAGGAACCTGGTAAATGTCTTCGCCATGTGGCATTGAGGGAACCTTTCTGATCTTTGCCTCGCTATCTTCTATGTTTTGACCACAGTATCGGACCACAGCATAATCAGTAGTAAGCGATGAGATGCCTCTGATGTTGTTTGACTCCGGATTGGTGTTTGTAAAGTTAATTGTTGAATAATGTAGGGGTTCTGGGTGATTTAGTGTGGGGGCTTCAGCTGATGACACCATAACTGTATTAGCATAAAAAGGCTCTCCCCTGCTGTCCACCGAATCAGCCTAGTGGATGAACAAAGATGGAGAATCATCAATCGAGACCTTTTATGCACAAGAAACTTGAAATGTGTCAGCGGGTGCAGAAACTAATTGTAAAAGCAGTCTGGTGTTTTACGATTTTGACATATTTATGAATGAATAGCATGTGTGTTTGATATATTGTAACATACCCCATCAGTCTGAATCAGTCCAGCTTTATCTCCACTATGAGTCCTGAAGATACATCTATAGAAATAATTCATTATTTAAAAACATAAATCTGCTTGTACCTTATTTATCAGAAATTGTTATTACTCAGAGGTTTCTCTTTCATAGCTCAGGAGACTTTAAATATAGTGAAACATAAGGAATATACAGTAGGCGAAATATAACTCCAACAAATATCAGAGTCTCAGATGTTCCTTCCACAATTCCTTAGGTGAAATAAAAACAGAAACACAAGAAACAAAATTGTTGACATAAAGTTAGTCCATACAGCTATGAGATGAATGTAGATGACCCAGATAATTTGATCTTGGAAGTATTTGGAAGCAGTTTACAAAATGTTTATACTGAAAATCTCTTAACGTTTAGTTGCAGAAAAAAAATCATCAAATCTGACACTACTGTAATTTGAGACATTGTTGAGATCTCCTCTGAAACTCTAGTAGACATATACAAGAATATTAGGGTGTTTTCTGGGAAATGGAGATGATTGGAAAACCAGGAGAGTTCAGCAATAGTCTCTGTTTGCTTTACATTTAACTCATTACTGTCTATTATAGAGACCTCCTTTGTGATTTTTCTTTCTTATAGTTTTTACATTAGGCAATCACACTGTCTACTTACTTGTACAGCAGTGTTGTGACCCATAAGATTGCCATAAACGAAGTTCCAGCTGCGACTCCAACCAGGAGGGAGTAAATGTTAAACCCTATTAAATAAATAAGTGACAGTTCATGGAAACTTTCTTTATTCTAGAGAGCAACTGTTCTGATATTAATGAAAATTGAACCATACATATCTGAATAATTGTTGTCTATTCAATAAAACATCAGCAGGCTAGTTGATTCATTGCCATATCAACAACTAAAATAGATTAACTGTTAAATTTAAATTTACATGGAGCTTTGTGAGTGATGAAAACTAGATGAAACAGTTGTTCATCATTGCCATGAGTGTTGTTGCTGACACACTGCAGAGTGGATGTGTGTGTGAGAGACTGATGAAGAGTGATGGAGCTCTTCAAGCCTGTGCTGCTCAATCGCTCTTCACTGATGAACGTGTTTGAAGAGTTAGTGACAGGACGTCCAGACAGATGCCACTCCAGTTCAGGAGAGGGATTCCCATCAGCCTCACAGGAACACACAGTTACATCAGTTCTGGCACAGCTGGAGGAAGTGGAAATCTGAGGAGCATCTATTAGAGAGAAAGATCGAGAATGGTTCGAGTAACTTTTTATGCAGTTTACATTGTTTACAATCACTTGGTTGAAAGATTTTCTCTGTTCCTTTAATACTCACACTGAATGTCCAGCATCACTGAAGAGTTTTGGGTGCCATGTTGGTTCTGAGCTGTACAGTGGTAGGAGCCTCTGTGTTTCAGGTCGATCCTATCGAAGGTAAGTGTGTGTCCAGTCTCCAGCTGCTCCATCTGTCCTTCACTCTCTCTGGACCAGGTGTAGTTCAGCACTGCTGGATTTGCATCACTGCTGCAGATCAGAGTCACTGAACTGCCCTCCAACACAGAGCTGGAGGGAAGCACAGACACTGATGTGTTTTTAGGCGAATCTGAAGGGAAAAAATGGGTCTCACAATAAAAATCACAATAATATGATTGATATCAATAAAAATCACAATAATATGAAAACTAAAAAGCATCTCAAAGCATCACTTACACTGAACATGTAATGTGATGCTGTCCTGTGCTGTTTTGTTCTCGTCCTGTAGCTGGTAGGTTATAGTGCAGGTGAAAGTGACTCTGTGCTGACGGTGAGTAGCAGTGAAGTTCAGATCAGAGATGAGCTCCTCTAGTCTGCTGCTCTCACTGAGGGGGATTCTGGGAGTGGAGCTCCATGTGAGAGTTGGTGGAGGAGAGGAGCAGAGAGTCTCAGCAGAGCAGCGCAGACTCACAGAGCTCCCCTCCAACACCTCCTCCTGATCCTGCACCTCCTTCTGCTCCACATACAGCTGCACTGTGGGTTTGGGGGGAGAGTCTGAAAAAGTAAAATGACAATGACGGCAACTTTTAAAACATTCATTTAACACATTTGTTTATAAATAAAATGCTCAAATCACTCACCAATCACATTTATAGTGGAGGCATTTACAGTGTAGACGTATTTCAAATCACCACTTTCAATCCTGAAGTAATATTTACCAGTGTGCTTTGAACTAACATTATAGAAGACAGTGGTGCAGTTCTTCTCATGTAGTTTTCCAGTTATTTCCCCATTAAAGTGATCAGGTTTGGGATCTGTGGAGTGAAACACTAGATGGCCATTCATCTTATCTCTATCTTTGAACCATAGTCCTGTAGCTCTCTCAGTGAGGCCTTTGTCAAATATTTCACGAATCTCAAATGTGCACTTTATGATCACACAGGATCCACTGAGAGCTTCGATCTTCTGTGGCAGACTGATGCTAAAATCTCTACAACAAACACCTAATAACACACACAACAGAAACATGTTAAACATACGAAGAAATGTACAACCACAAAACGTTAAAAAGAATATACTTATTTTTACTTAAATATGCTTCATTTATAATGAAATTAAACTCATTAACTGTTATACTGTAGTTAATTCATTAACAATAAAAGTTCAGCTTATGTGAGCATGTTTGATTGCTTGTTATTCACGTTTTTTTTTTATCATTCAGGAAAAGTCTAAGTCATAATGATTGACATATGTGCTTTGTACTTTTGTCTGCATTAAATTATAAATAAGAAGTATTATTTTTTCCTTGTAAATGTAATTGAGTAATAGTACATGTATTCTGTTTTAACAGAACATAGGTGAAGTACAGATTCCCCAAAATAATACTTAAGCATATTAGTATAGACTATAACTTAAATACTTTTCACATTTGCAATTAAACCATTTAGACCTAGTTATATACCACAGTCTAAACACACTGGTTTTATAAAACACATTCAGGATAAATATTATAGTTGTTTACTTCATCTTACAAATGAGGAAGCAACAAACATTGTGGAAGTTAAAGGAGAGATACACACACCTTGTAAGAGAAAGACAAAAATGCTGATTTTCTCAGCTACGCTCATCTTGCTATTAAAAGATGGTCAGACCTAAGTAGAGATGATATATACAATCACATTACAAAAATTATACAAACACGAACAACATACAAACACACACTCAACACTGTTGTTCTGGAATGATTTTAGGCAAACAAATATTATTCTCATAATCATAAATCATCTGAAACAAACCATCTGTACACCCAGGAAGAAAAAGGTACAAAGCTGTCACTGGGGTGGTACCCTAAGGTACAAAAGCTGAAAGGTACATCTTTGTACCTCATTTACCTCTACATATTAGTACCTTATTAGTACTTTAATAGTACATATTAGTACCTAAAGTGCACTATTAGCACCTTTTGAAAGGATTCAGCCCCAGTGACCGTTTCTGTTTTTATATATCATATTTATAATACATTATAAGAGTATTCTTAAAGCATAATAATGAATGCATAATGTATTCTAAAAAATATATAATATGCTGAATCATCTCATGAGTAATCATAACAACAGATTTAATGCATTACAATATTTACTTATTTTTACTTATAAACGTATTATTTATTTGTGGTTATAGCTTTTAAGATTATGATGATTTATAATACAGTACACAATGAACACAATGCATCCACTTAACTTACAATGGATTATATTTCCCATAGTTATAATGTATTATAAGTCTCATATCTTGCCATTGTTAACTTGTTACTTTACTTAAAGCAGACAAGACCACTTATAAATAATAACAACAACAATGACAACACCAGCAATAATAAAATAAACAAAAACATTCTTAAACAGCCATAAGATCAGATTTCTGATCAGATGAATGTGTAATATGGCACATTTGATTTTAACTATATTTATTGTAATATCAGTAAGATAGTAAGATACTGTACAGATCTTAAATAAATAATGTCAAGATATGAGACTTATAATCCATTACAAATTAAGTGGATTTAATGTGGTGTTTATTGCGTGTTATACATAATTATACTCGTAAACGTTATGACCACAAATAAGTTTTTATAATGTATCATAATTGTTGTTATGATTATTTATGAGATGAAACAACATATTATAAGATTTTTTTATCATGCATTATGCATTTATTCTAATGCCTTACGAATACCCTTATAATGTGTTATAAAAATGGGCTTCATAGAAAGTGTTACCTAAAAATGTATATTATATAATTTTTTTAAAAATAAAGTACAATTGCAAATTTGCCATAGCTTTTGGGTAAACAATGTATTTACATATTTAGCCTTAAACGTGCTTGACTGCTTAAATGTAGCTGAAAAGCCATTAAAGGTTTATGTGGCCAAGACTTTGATGTATATGCCTTTAAGCAGAAAAAGGTGTGACAACTCTTCTCTACATCAACACAAGCCCTCAATTTGAACAGAACAAAAAGTAAGAATAAGAATGGTTAACATTTCAGAAAATCAAATAGATTATTAAAGAAAGTTTCATGTTGGAACTGTTTTTATAACTTGTATCTTTAGCCAAACAATAACCTCAAACCTTAAGTTTTTGAATATACAAACTTTTAATGATTTTGTAAAGTCTGTAAATCCTGAGCTGATCTAAAGCTATGAATTACCTTTAATATAAATTACAGAAAAAGCAAACACGAGGAGTATAAATGATTGCAGGACAAAACAAGACTTAAAAAAATAAATCTATTAGTTTCGGTTTATAAATTCATCAAGGGAATAAATTACAAACATTTGTCTTGGAGAGATAAATGAACAGAATAAAACATCAGGATCTAAAACATCAGAATCAACACACCTGAGAATATTAAAACTGTCATTTAGGTCTTACTGATATTAAACTATACTTACCAGAGAAGGCTGATAAAAAGTTTAAGAAATCGTCTGAATATTGGTAAAGAGTAAAGCTGACTGCTTTGACACAGACTTCTTTTTAGACTGGAAGGCGCTATGCTGTATGAAGATAACACAATGCATGACTAATATTTGACTAATCAAACCTACTCAGCAGTGGCTGTATCTATAACCTTCATGCTGTTCACAAACAGAACAATCTACACAAACATACTTGACAGTCAATACCTTCAAGCAAATTACCCTTGATTTGTTATACTTTCCATGATGGCAACATTTGTGTAGCCTAAAGTCACAGTGAGGTTATATTAATATAAACTGAGCTTTTATAAAATATTTAAAATTCAAAATAATAATAATGAATAAATAAATAAACAATAAAAATCGACCAGTATGAGAATATGTTTTGGGGACGGCAGGTTTCAACATCAAGAGCTCATGAGGAGCTACAGAAGAGCTACTGTATAGCTCAAATTGCTGTAGCTTAATGCTGGATATGATATAGGAGTCAGAACACACAGTGCATGGCAGTTTGGCATATGGGGCTGCGTAACTGCACTCTTAGAAAATAAAAAGTACAAAGGCTGTCACTGGGGTGGTACCTTTTCAAAAGGTACACATTTTTACCTAAAGGGCGCATAATGGTACCTTAAAGATACATATTAGTACCTAAAAGGTACAAAAGCATACATTTGGAAAAGGTACTGCCCCAGTTTTTGTACCTTTTTTTCTGAGAGTGCACAAACTGGTCAGAGCGCCCTTGATAACCCCTGTCCACACCGAAACCACAGATAATGGGCATGTGAGCATCAGAACTGGATCATGGAGCAATGGAAGAAGGATTGAGTGATCTGATAAATCACTCTTTTAGATCAAGTGGATGGCTGGGTGTGTGTGCATCTTTTAACTGGGGAAGAGATGGTAGAAAGATGCACTTTGGGAAAAAGGCAGGACGGTGGACGGTGGAGGCAGTGTTATGACCTGGACAATGTTCTGCTGGGAAACCTAGGGGCCTGGCATTCATGTGGATGTTACTTTGACACAAACCGCCTACCTAAAGATTGTTGCAGACCACGTACACCGCTTCATGGCCTTTTTTCAGCAGTATAATGCAAACTGCAAAAATTTGCAAAAAAAAATTTGCAAAAAATTTTTCAACGGTTTGAGGAACATGACAAAGTGTTCAAGGTGTTGCCTTGGCCTCCAAAAATCCCAAATCTCAATCCAACTGAGCATCTGTGGGATGTGCTGGACCAGATACCAAGACACATTCACAACGGTGTATAAATGATTATATACACATATGTAACTTTTAAGAACTGCCTTTTGTTGTGACTTGTTTGTTGTAAAAAAAAAAAAAAAACTATGCCATCATTTATTTAAAATACATTTATTTCATACTAAGTATTCTTCAAATCTATTGACATATTTATTGATATATCACTTAAGACTTACTGATATCAATTTATAATTAAACTTTATTTGGTGTATTTCTTTATTGCACAATGCACAATTATTAATGTTATGCCTAAAATATGTTTTAATATCACTATTAATAAGGATTGTATGATCTCTGTATAATAGCAGTCTTTAAATGCAAGATATTAAAAGTTTATTTAAAAAGTGTACCTGAAGTATACTTGCAATAGTTCCACTTTAGCACAATCAAATATACTTAGGTATATCTTTTGTTGGACCTCAGCACTACTTCCACACATTTAAAGTTTTTTTGCACAAAATTAGTTGTTCCAATTTAGCAGACTTTAAGTATACCAGTTTAAAGTTTAAAGTACCAGTTTAAAAATGGAAGTAGAATGAAATATGTGGAACGATAGGTTTCTGACTAAAAAGAAATATTCACAATCTAAATTTTTCAGCAAGTGTTATTTTAGTAATCATATTCTTGGTAAAATAAAAGACTGGAAAACTGCATAGCTGGAAATTTACATTTACAAATTGAAGGTTTACAATTATGCAAGTTTTAACAAATATCTTCTTTTTTTTAATCTTGCATATATGAAAGCCCTTTGTGGCATAAATCCTGAATATGAGAATGTTAATAAGATTTCGATGCTACTTTCTTGTTAATAAAGGCTATTCAATTTAATATATTATACAGTATATTTCTATTTAATATATTATATATAATATAATATATTATCATGTCACTAAATCATGCTTCAGAATAGCAAGAATAAACTTTTCACTTCCGTTATCTATTATAAAAATGCTTGATTGTTGCAGAATGTATACAGCACTCAATAAACAAAAAGAAGGCAAAGTGTGACCAGGGCCGTCCTTAAGGCGGTGCAACTGGTGAAGCCACGCTGAGCCCTGTGCTTGAGGGGGCCCCGTGGTGAATGGATAGAGGCGAACGCGAACAGACCGAGGCAGTGAACAGACTGCAGTTTCAGCTTCTGTATTTATAGTGTAGGCAGCGGGACATTTCAGATTCATATTGCCGGAAGTGAGAGACTGTAGGTTTTGAATGCTTATATCTTCTAAATACAAATGTTGTCATCATTTTGGAGCACAGCTTATAGATAACTATAAGGCTAACATTTTCAAACTAAAAGCCAAAAAAAAAAAATTTTGATTTCATAGGGACTTTAAGGTGTTTATTGATTTTTCTGTTCTAATTTTGATGGTTTAATATAGATACTTAATTTTGTTAAGTCTGAGACTTTCATTTGAAAATAGTACTGAAATCATAAAAATTGATGATCAAAAAAAAAGTACTGAAATCATGCACTTTATTTTATCTTATGTGTTTTACATTCATATTTTTGTTGTTATTTCTGCTGTTGCCATAAAATGTAAATGAGGTCTTTATGTCAATTGAAAAGCCTAGTCAACAACTGTTGTGTGTTAATTTGACAACATTAATGTGCTTGCATTTCTTTGTATGCTGTTAGGTGTTTGTTGTAGAGATTACAGTGTGATCTGAGACACTGTGTGATCATAAAGTGCAGATTTGAGATGGAATTATTTCTTTATTGTTATTTTTACTACTTAGACTGAAATGAATATGTCAGTCATGCCCCCAGGATGTCACTTTGCACTAGTACCGTTTTATTTGAGTAGGGCGGAATTTCACTGACGGACGGAAGTGAGTAACGGTGTTTTGTGTCCCGTGCGCTTTTATTTTGCTTCTGACAGGTTGTTTGCTAA